AGGAAGCAGAATAACCCATGATCAAATGGAAGGACAAGCGCACGCCACCAGAAACACTTGCAGAAGACTCCACCAAACGACACCCCCAAGGCAACTGAACAGTCAAACCAACTACACACACCGATCCCCTCTGTTTCCACCCCCGCCCCAACAGTTACAGAATTAGAACAGAAGTTGAAGGTTTGGTATCAACAAATGCAAGATGGATTAACGAATTAAACATAGGAATGGCCAAGAAAGAATCAATGAGAAGTCCCCAGACCATCATAGCATTTACAGAAAACAAAACCTCATGGAGACAATAACTGATGCAATCTATCCCAACCAGGATAACCAATCTTGGAGAAAGAATAGAAGGGCAGGGGGGGAGGTGGGGTTGCTCTGCTCGTAAAAAAACAGATGGAAATTCGAGAAAATGAAGGAAAGATGAGGGACGGAGAAAGAGCTAACATAGCAGGTACAATTCAGTCTAGGGGAACACAAAGTGGTCATTGCAGTGATGTATAATCCACCACAGACTGCGAGCCAAGAGAGGAATAGAAGAGGAGCAAAAGAGCAAAAGGTAGGAGCACAACTGCTGAGTGGACAAGAAGAGCTCCACTCCAGCAGAGCAAAGTTCAGTTATGGGGGATTATAACCACAGGGCAGATGACTGGAAAACTGGAGCCACATTGGGGTCCCGAAAACATGGAAGACAGGATGTTGGACTGGTGCTGGAAAACCTCATGCACCCACATGTTAAGGACACTACCAAGAGTGAGAGGGAGGATGACCCAGCAAGATGGACCTTTTAGTGTTCACCCCTGGGCATCCTCAGATATTGAGGACATCAAGTATGAGAAGTCCTCTAGGAGCTTAGCGACCACGTGTTCTGTGCTTTGAATACTGATAGTAAGAGCTGCACGTGGAGAGAATAACAGGAGTTGAATGGGAAAGTCTGACTAAAAAAAGAGGGACTACATAGGTTGAACAACTTCCTGCGGTAGGTCCACTTTGGACAGAGGAACTGGCAGGAAAGCCAGTAAATGAAATGATGGAATATGTAACAACAAAAATGCAAGGAGGCAGTGGAAAGGTTATTCCCAAGCGGCAACAGTAACAACGGGAAGAACCAGAATGAGCCCCTGTTTACCCGACGGTGTAAGTAGGCATAACAGGAAGTTAATGGGAAAAGTTCTGACTATAAAAGAGGGACTTACCTAGGGATGAAGAACTTCCTCCGGTAAGAACCAAGTGGACAGAGAACTGGCAGGAAAGCCAGTAAAAGAAAAATGAAGGAATATGTAACAACAAATGCAAGGAGGCAGTGGAAAGGTTTAATCCCAAGGCAACAGTAACAACGGGAAAACCAGCACGAGCCCCTGTGTTTACCCGAACGGTGTAAGGAGAGCAAGCAAAATCAAGTGCAATATGAGAATGGAAAAAGTACAAAGTCAGAGAACAAACGAAAATAGGGAGATCAGTCAAAGAGCCAGGAAGAGTACGCACAGGTAAGGAGGGAGGCCAGCGACAGATGAAAATGACATAAGCATCGAGAATCAAGACTGACCCGAAACTGTTGTATAGCCACACAGGGGGAAGACAACAGTCAAAGACCAAGGTGATCAGATTAAGGGACAGAAGGTGGAGAACTCACAAGAAATGATCCGGAGGTATGTGAGGAGCGAACTGGAGATTTAAAAGTTTTTACAGTAGAGACATAAGGGCTGTGGGAAGACAGTCACAAAGTTCACATCAAGAGGGATTATACCAACAAGTGATTGGATGACATACGAACAACAGAGGATAAGGTGAAGAAGCTCTTAAGTGACCTTGACACTCAAAGGCCGATGGGACCGGACAACATCTCCCCCATGGTCCTGTAAGAGAAGGAGCAGAGATGCTGTGCGTGCCTCTAACCACAATCTTCAACACATTCCGTGAACTGGGCAACTACCTGAGAATGGAAGACACTAATGTAGTCCCCATATTAAGAAAGGAAACAGAAACGGGCGACTAAACTACAGACCTGTGTCTCTGACATGTATTGTGTGCAAAGTCCAAGGAGAATCTTATCAGGATGAGAGTGGTCCGAACACGCTGGAAAGGAACAATATTATAATGAAAAACTCACATGGGCTCATGGAAGGCAAATCCTTGTATCACAAACCCCTGAGTTATGACAAGGTAACAGAAGTAAGACACGGAGAGAGGTGGGTAGATTGCGTTATCCCCTAGACTGCAGGAAGGCCTTTGACACAGTTCCCCACAAATATTATGCAGAAGCTGAGGATCATGCGCACGTAAAAGGAGGGCAACTCAAGGATGAGGGAAACCTGACAGGGAAGCAGCAACGAGTCGTGGGTACGTGAAGAGTGTATCACAGTGGGCGCCTGTTACAGCGGGGTCCCACAGGGGTCAGTTCTAAGACCAGTGGGCTATTTTTGATATATGTGACGACATGATGGAAAGGAATAGACTCTGAAGTGTCCGCCCTGTTCGCAGATGACGTGAAGTTGTGAGAAGAAAAAATCGGACGAAGGAGAGGCAGGACTGCAAGAGACCTGGACAGGCTGGACATGTGGTCCAGCAAACTGGCTTCTCGAATTCATCCATCCAAATGCAAAGTCAAGGAAGATTGGGATGGGCAAAGAAGGACCGCAAGACAGAGTATAGGCGAGT